CTTCAAGGAGCGGGCTGTCCGGACCTGGGATCCGCGACCCCAGAATGATGCAAGGCTGTCACTCTGACATATGTACTCGCATTGTCGCCGATTCGGAGATCTCTCTCTGCGTTTGGCTTTTATGCAAAGTGGCGCTGACCATTTGCATGTCAATCGATTGACAAATGTTGCCAACTTTGGGCCACTCACGGCCATGTCGACCATGATTAACGTCAGCTTTTTTGACAGCCATTTGACAGCTGCCAGCGCTGCATAAGTCATTTCAAATACTACACTGACACAATTATTAAATGTTATGAAATGTTATTGATTCTGCATTAAGTTTTGTTTCAATTCACATATCATCCTAACGATCTTCATCCTAAAAATCACAGGAGAAATAAGTTAATTTAATGGTGTCTTATGTATTGAAATCGATTTAGTAAAATAAAAAGATCACAATTGAACAAAAAGATTCTATATTAAGTTCTGAAAATTGTTAAGTCGATATAGTCTTAACCAACTTAGGAAACTGATAGAAATAAGTCTCAATATCCTTACTTAAAAAATATATTTTTAAATTGGTTAGGAGTGCATTAAGTAGTTATCGTGCAATGATTAAATCTGAAAGAGATCAAACCATATTTGAACAACGGACATTAAAAGGCTTTATTAATACAAATATAATTATAGATACTTTTGATGAGGTATTGTAAAAATTATTTATTCCATTTACTTGTCTTTAAAATTTTTCGTTATTTTTAAGTAAGCAGTTCTAATGTCCTCTGAATTATTTCCTCACCTGCAATCCTAAGGTACTTGGTATTTCGTTCAGTGTATCCCTGCCTTGGGTGGGTGTGGACTGCATCATTAAAAATGGTCTTGCCACAGTCTCTTTGCTTTGAGCTGTTGTCAAAGCTGAAATGCCGCTGAATTCCCAGGGCGGCGACTGCTTCGAATGCAGCGTTAAAAATAACACCGCATAAATTGCAATAGTGGCCAATGATTCCCAGGGGCAGCCATTTCGAAGATTCCCATCCGAACCGATTCCAAAACAAACTCCTCATGGCATTTCTTTCCGTTTTAGGCTACCGGGAGAGTGCGTTCGCCTTTGCCATATCGGCTGCCGGGGTGGCCCACAGTGTGGCCCGTGCCTGCAGCCAAGGTCGTTTGATGTCCTGCGGCTGCGACCCCACCATCAATCGCAAAACGCTCAACAAGAACCTGCGCCAGTCGCTCGACAAGGAGAAGAAGCAGTTCCTCCAGTACCTGGAGACGAACCAGATTCTAACGCCCGAGGAGGAGAAGAAGTACGAGCGGTCGAAGATCGCCAGTCGCTGGAAGTGGGGCGGCTGCTCCCACAACATGGATTTCGGGGTCGAGTACTCCAAGCTGTTCCTCGACTGCCGCGAAAAGGCGGGCGACATCCAGTCGAAGATCAATCTGCACAACAATCACGCCGGCAGGATAGTGAGTTTGGCTCTTATACTCTTATTAAAAAAATAATGATTTTACTTAATTAATATGACATAAAAGTTGGTTAATTTTTGAGGATACATTTAATGTTAAACCTCGTTACTAGGCTGAAATATCCTATCTATTTTCAAAAAATTCAATTTTTAAACAAATTTAAAAACATTTTATAATAATTATGTTATGATATTATTTGTTTTGTTATTTAATCCATATAAAAAAATTAAGATTTCCTAATTAATCATTTCATTTTGTGGGCCAAGACCTTTTTAAAAAACATTTATAGCTGTCTTTGAAAAATTGTAACCAGTGGCTAAATAGTAAAATTTAAGTAGTTGTCGTGAGTTTAAGTTTTGAAAGCTGTTTTCGGTCTATTCAAATTTTAATGAATCGTCTTTTTAAAAGCATTTTTTAATCTTTTTTATAATGTTGAACAACAGTTTTTAATAGTATTTTTTCACATAAAAGATATTTTTACTATACTTTTATAGGCCGTTTCCAACAACATGGAGTTCCGCTGCAAGTGCCATGGAATGTCCGGCAGCTGCCAACTGAAAACCTGCTGGAAGTCCGCCCCCGACTTCCACGTCGTGGGTAAGGTGCTGAAGCACCAGTTCCGCAAGGCCATTCTCGTGGATCAATCGAATCTGGGCAATGGGGAGCCCGTGGTCGTTTTGAAAAGGGCGCGCAATAAGAAATCTAATGGGGGCAGCGGCTCCGGATCCGCGTCCTCCGATCTGGATACCGCGGATGCATCTGGAAGCCACGATGGCGGTGGAACTGGTGATTCCGAGGGGCGGCGGCATGAGGAACTCGGAGTGGAGCGGGCCACGCGGCAGCCGAGTGCCGATAAAAATGCGGCAAGAATGGCCCGCAAACTGGAGACCTCGTTGTTCTACTATCAGCGCTCGCCGAATTTTTGTGAGCGGGATCTGGGAGCTGATATACAGGGTAAGTGATCAGAAGAACTATTTGTAGTATTTAGGATATCATATTAAATAATTCCCAATATCGACATATAACTTGCACAATTCGGTTAAAATTTTAAATTAACAATTATTACAACATTATAACATCATTTTAACAGATCTATAAGATCATTTTTTGTATTTCTTTTAATTTAAATTGATATATATTTTCCTATACTTAACAACAATGATACAATACCTTTAAATAAGTGTTAAAATGTTATAAGTACTAAAACGTTAAATCTTTATTTAATAAAAATCCTCTTGATTAGTAGAAAAACAAAATGTATTATGTAAAATTCGATACGAAAATCAACGTTAAATATCATGAAATATTTTCTTCAAATTTTTATATCCAAGAAATGCATTACGTTATGAGTTAATTTGCTATTTTTCGCCAAGAAAATCGGTGCAACTAATTAAAAATGATTTACCGATACGATCCAAGCGATAAATTTAATTTACCTGTAATAAATAAATCACAAATGCAAATGAGCAACAGCAAATGCAACAAAACCAAAAATGTTTTTTGAACGGGCTACCAAACATGCCACATAATTCACGAAAAAAATGCGACATCGAGGCATGCGCACAGCAGCTCAGTTTAGCTTAGCTCAGTTTGGATCAGATTGGATCGGATCAGCTTAACTCAGTTTGGATTGTATAGGCCAGGGGCGAAGGCATTAAAATCAATGGGGTTTTTATTTTAATTATTTATAAAGTATATATTTTTTATGATGATTTTTATGATTTATAGTTATGTTTATTATTTTCGTAATTAACTGTGACTTCCAAGTAAACAATCTAAAATATATTTAAAAGGTTATGGCTAACATTTTCGTGTACCACAAATTATATTTTGTATTTTATAGTTTCAAAAATTGTAATACGGGCAATTTAATCCCCATAAGCCCCCGCTTGTTTCTCCTCTGGTTTGGGGATCGGTCGAAGCTGCGGCACGTTCACATCGAAATCGACGTCTAACTGCCACTTGCAATTTTCGTTAGCCATTTTGCCGTTGACACATTTGCAAATTATCAAAAGCCGCTGCTGCGCCGGCGACTGTCAGCAGTTTAAAAGTGTTAATTACGACGCAAATTTATAATTAATCGCCGGCTTAGTCCGGTAGCTCCAGCTCCAGCCCCGGGCTCCAAGCTCCAAGCTCCAGTGGACTGGGGACCAGCCCATCGGGCGTTTTGATTCATGTGCCCGTGTCCGGTGTCGTGTCTAGGCAAATGATGGCAATTAACGTTGGCAATTATCGTCGGCCAAACAATTATGATACTTTGTTTATGCTTTAGTTGAACAGTTTATTTACGGTCTTTTAATAGCTTGTCCTCTAGTGGGAGGAATTAAATGCGATTTAATCGAGGTGTTCACGTATTTAAATGGAAAAATGGATAGAACAGCTTACAAAACACTTTGTAGCTACCAATAATAAAATGTATTTTTATTATTCACCTCCTTTTTATTTTAAGCATTTTGAAACTGATAAGTAAATGAAAGTAGTTCTTAAAAATTTGTTTTATTTAAAAGTCCGTTGGAGTAGTAATTTGTTCACATGGAAAAAGTATATAAAACGCCTTCAGAAAACTAATAACAAGTGGTTTTGATCTACACATTTTGAGTCATTTTAGGTAAAGAAATAATTATTATAATTGAGTGTAGTATAAATTTTCTATAATATCAGTCCATTGGAGTATTAATTTATATTTCTAAAATATTATTTACATTAAATAAATTTAAAAAATTTAGTGCTGAAAAAAAAATGGCTAAAGAAATAAAATGAACTTATTTTTGTAATGGAGAGAATAGATATTTTTAATATTTATTAATGGTTAATTTTGGTTCTTATTGTTTATATACAAAACTAAAATATCAGTATTAAAATTTCTTAAAATGGTATTAATATGCATTTATTTTTTTCCACAGGCACCGTGGGCCGGAAGTGCAACCGGAACACCACGACCAGCGACGGGTGCACCTCCCTCTGCTGTGGGCGTGGCCACAGCCAGGTGATTCAGCGGAGGGCGGAGCGGTGTCACTGTAAATTTCAATGGTGCTGTAACGTGGAGTGCGAGGAGTGCCACGTGGAGGAATGGATTAGCATATGCAATTAAGGATAAAACAGGAGGAAATGGAAAGGGAACGGAAACAGAGACGGAAACGGAAACGGGAGCCTCAGCCACACGCATAAGAAAAGACTTTTCTTCAATCTAACAAACACTTAAATCAGTATTAAAGAAAAACATAACATACGCAATAGGGCAAACATCAATAAACGTGTGTGAATGCAATGCTTAGTTTAGCAATCTCCAGCCATTTGGAATACGTATAAATATATTTTGTAAATACGAATAATAAGATGCATAATTAGTCTGTCAATCAGCTGACTTTCACTCGCGTTGGCAATTTCCCTTTCACCTGTCTCTCTGTGTTTTTTGCTCTTGCACGTGAATGTCGCCAATGAATGCGGCTAATTGAATTAGCCGGCTAAATAGTTGTCCAAGGTGTGCACCCAGGTACTGCCCATTGAATGGCTTCCTTCCTTGCAAGTGAAAAGCCGTCGATTGCATTGGCCCATCATTTAGTTGGCTTACGGCAGCGGTACGTGCTGCATGCGTGCGGTCGGTTCGAAAGTTCAAATAAATACTTCCCCAAAGAAAGACATCAGCAGGAAAAGTGTGCCACTCCGAAACGGAAAAGGTGTGTCCTGAAGGATTAAGTGGTCCAAGATCTTTGAAGTGAATCTCATACAACTCGTTCAAGTTGCAAATAAAGTTGCCACAAGAACAGAAATGGAATATTTTAACGTCCTTTAGGATCCTGTTCGTCAAAGGATTAAAAGTGTACCCTGGTTTTGTCTTTGCATTTAATTAACACATTTGATTTTAAAATTGAAAAGATTTAGATTTCCAGAAATGTTGGTTCAAAAGTATTAATTTATGAAAGGTCCTTAGCAAAAATATTTTTTTTTAAACATCAATTTTCGGTTTAATTAATAAAATCCTATGTGAAGAACCACAAAAATGTCAAATAAAGAGCTAATTCTTCTCCGTTAGTAAAATATAATAAACGTTTAAGGTAACAACATAAAATCAATTTCTGCTTAGAAAAAAGTTAAGCAGTTTTTAAACGAAGAGATTAAAAGAAACCACTAGAATGCTTTTTCTTAAGTGTTATGCAAACGAACCATAGCATAAGCATAATAGGATTGGCACAAAGTGGACACAACCCCTTTATGTGAACTTCTTTTTCCAAGCTTAACCCAATTGAACCACCACAGGAATATTCTTCGAACGTTCAGGATAGTCCTCTAAGTCAGGATGTATTTACCGTACACGCAATTGCCGGATCCTACGGATAAGTTCGAGATCTACGAGGAGATAGCCCAGGGTGTTAATGCCAAGGTTTTCCGGGCCAAGGAGCTGGACAACGACCGGATTGTGGCCCTGAAGATCCAGCACTACGATGAGGAACACCAGGTGTCGATCGAGGAGGAGTACCGCACTCTGCGGGACTACTGTGACCATCCCAATCTTCCCGAATTCTATGGGGTGTACAAGTTGTCGAAGCCAAACGGACCCGATGAGATCTGGTTCGTCATGGAGGTAAGAAAAGATTCAAATAAAATTTAATCAGCATAACTTTGAATGCTTTCTGAATAAGCTATTTTTTGTAATAAACGAAATATAATCAAAAGTAGTATAATAATTATACCGTACTATCGTATTTTGGTATTTTGAAATACAAATTTGAAACTGTATATTAAAAAAATATTTTTTTGTAACTCTATTTTAAAACCAACTTTCCATTTTAGTACTGCTCGGGAGGAACTGCAGTGGATATGGTGAATAAGCTCCTGAAACTAGATCGTCGCATGCGAGAGGAGCACATTGCCTATATCATCCGGGAGACTTGCCGTGCAGCCATCGAATTAAACCGTAATCATGTCCTGCATCGGGACATCCGAGGAGACAACATCTTGCTAACCAAGAATGGACGCGTGAAGCTCTGCGATTTTGGGTTGTCCCGTCAGGTGGATTCCACCCTGGGAAAGCGGGGAACCTGCATAGGCTCGCCCTGTTGGATGGCTCCCGAAGTGGTGTCCGCTATGGAGTCCCGGGAACCAGATATCACCGTTCGAGCCGATGTCTGGGCTTTGGGTATCACCACCATCGAGCTGGCCGATGGAAAGCCACCATTCGCCGACATGCATCCCACTAGGGCCATGTTCCAGATTATTCGCAATCCACCCCCGACCTTAATGCGACCCACCAATTGGTCGCAGCAGATCAATGATTTCATCTCCGAGAGTCTGGAGAAGAATGCCGAGAATCGTCCCATGATGGTTGAGATGGTGGAGCATCCATTTCTTACGGAACTCATTGAGAACGAGGACGAGATGCGTTCGGACATCGCGGAGATGCTGGAACTCTCCAGTGACGTCAAGACTTTGTACAAGGAGCCTGAATTGTTTGTGGACCGCGGCTATGTCAAGAGGTTCGATGAGAAACCGGAGAGGATGTACCCGGAGGACTTGGCTGCCCTGGAAAATCCTGTGGATGAGAGCATTATTGAATCACTGCGTCACCGAATTATGACGGGTGGATCATACAGTTTCATTGGAGATATCTTGTTGTCGTTGAATTCCAATGAAATCAAAGAGGAATTTCCCCCTGAGGTGAGTTAACAAAAGTTGTTTTAACATTTTACAGATCCAGAAAATAGTGGTTTTAAATTTATAATGGATATGGATTTTTCAAAGGAAATCCTTAGAATTTTATTGTTAGTCCTTTCGTAATAATGATTTGATATAGTACATTTCAAATATTATAAAAGTTATCCTGAACACAAGGAGTTTTTAACATTCGACACCTCTCATATTTCGATGTTCCAAAAATATTTTGATTTTATATCTTATACTTCCCATTTTATTATTATTTATTGTCAGTTCCATGCCAAGTACCGCTTCAAGTCGCGATCGGAGAATCAGCCGCATATTTTCTCGGTGGCTGATATCGCCTACCAGGACATGCTGCATCATCGGGAGCCACAGCACATTGTGCTCTCCGGGGAAAGTTACTCGGGCAAGTCGACCAATGCCCGACTGCTGATCAAGCACCTGTGCTACCTGGGCGCAGGAAATCGAGGAGCCACTGGACGGGTGGAGAGCTCTATCAAGGCCATCCTGATGTTGGTAAATGCAGGCACTCCTGTGAACAACGACTCCACCAGGTGTGTTCTACAATATTGTTTGACCTTCGGTAAAACCGGCAAGATGAGTGGAGCCGTATTCAATATGTATATGCTGGAGAAGTTGCGAGTGGCCACTACGGATGGCACCCAGCACAACTTCCATATTTTCTACTACTTCTACGACTTTATCAATCAGCAGAATCAGCTCAAGGAATACAATCTCAAGGCTGATCGTAATTATCGCTATCTGCGAGTTCCGCCAGAGGTTCCCCCAACAAAGTTAAAATATCGTCGTGATGATCCCGAGGGAAATGTGGAGAAATTCAAGGAGTTTGAGAATATACTAAGGGATATTGATTTTAATCACAAACAATTGGAGACCGTTCGTAAGGTCCTGTCGGCCATTTTGAATATTGGCAATATCCGTTTCCGGCCAAATGGAAAGTTTGCGGAAGTGGAGAACACCGACATCGTGTCGCGGATTGCAGAGCTTTTGCGGGTGGATGAAAAGAAATTTATGTGGTCTCTGACCAATTTCATTATGGTCAAGGGTGGCATCGCCGAGAGACGTCAATATAGCACTGATGAAGCTCGAGATGCCCGCGATGCGGTGGCCAGCACGCTGTACTCCCGATTGGTGGACTTCATCATCAACAGGATCAACATGAACATGTCCTTCCCACGGGCTGTGTTGTAAGTATCACAGAATATATACATTCATTACTTGTAAAAAATATTGAATCCTTACATTCATGCTTTAATACTATTTATTTTAATATTGATATAAATTATTATTTTTTCTCAGTGGTGACACCAATGCCATTATTATCCATGACATGTTTGGCTTTGAGTGCTTCAATAGGAACGGTCTTGAGCAACTGATGATCAACACTCTGAACGAACAGATGCAATACCATTACAACCAGCGCATTTTTATCAGCGAAATGCTGGAAATGGAGGCTGAGGATATCGATACCGTTAACCTGAATTTCTACGACAACAAGACCGCTCTGGATAATTTGCTAACCAAACCGGATGGCTTGTTCTATATCATTGATGATGCCTCACGTTCTTGCCAAGATCAGGATTTGATTATGGGTATGTAAGAGGTGTCACTCATTGGAATAGCTCTTTTGATTTAGTTATCTTACTCCACAGATCGTGTTTCGGAAAAGCACAGCCAGTTTGTGAAGAAGCACACTGCCACAGAGATATCCGTGGCCCATTACACGGGTCGCATCATTTACGATACGCGGGCCTTCACCGACATTAACCGGGACTTCGTACCGCCGGAAATGATCGAGACCTTCCGCTCCTCGCTGGATGAGAGCATCATGCTCATGTTCACCAATCAACTGACCAAGGCTGGCAATCTCACGATGCCCTTTGAGGCCATTCAGCATAAGGATGAAACCGAACGGAAGTCCTACGTGAGTGTGGCATTTGGGAAATTAATATTATACATTTTTTAAAAAGCTAGTTCCATTAAAAAAATTTAAGTAATTCAAAAGTGGCTTCAAAAGTATTATAATATGTCGTCAAAACATAGGACTTTCAAATTATAGATGTACTTTATATATAATATCCCTTTTAGGCTTTAAATACACTGAGTGCCGGCTGCATCTCCCAGGTGAATAATCTCCGAACCCTGGCGGCCAACTTCCGCTTCACCTGCCTGACCCTGCTCAAAATGCTCAGCCAGAATACAAATCTCGGCGTGCACTTTGTCCGCTGTATTCGCGCTGATCTGGAATACAAACCCAGAGCTTTCCACTCGGATGTCGTCCAACAGCAGATGAAGGCCTTGGGAGTCTTGGACACTGTCATTGCCCGGCAGAAAGGCTATAGCTCACGGCTGCCGTTTGAGGAGTTCCTGAGAAGGTGAGTAACACCTATTATTAAAGATAATAGATATTTTTTAATATAATACAATTATAATTTCGTAATAAAATTAAGTTGGAATTTTTAAACGTATTATTCTGGCACAAATAACTTTAATTATTACGTTCCTCCAAAAATTATTGTCAAAAACCTTAATTTGTGTAATTTGTTGTTATATATTTCATTAGATATCAATTCCTTGCCTTTGACTTTGATGAGCCTGTGGAAATGACCAAGGATAATTGTCGTCTTTTGTTCTTGCGTCTCAAGATGGAGGGCTGGTCCTTGGGAAAGTCTAAGGTATTTTTGCGGTACTATAACGATGAGTTCTTGGCCAGGTAAGCTACCAATTCTTGCACATAAAAAAAATATTACTAAAATATATGGCTTACAGGTCGTACGAGGTGCAGGTAAAGAAGGTCATCAAGGTGCAATCCATGATGCGGGCTTTGCTAGCTCGAAAACGCGTCAAGGGCGGCAAGGTGTTTAAATGTAAGTTATACTAACTAAACTGCAAATAATTAAATAATAATTACAAATCCTCTCCTAGTGGGCAAAAAGGGACCGGAGCATCAGGATGTGGCCGCGTCCAAAATTCAAAAAGGTAAAAAAACGCAGGTGGATAGGCTAAGAGAGTACGACGAGGAGCACATCGACATTAGTGAGACGCCCTCGGAGGCCGAGGAGATGTTCCTCGAGGCCAGAATGGACGAGGCTCTGGCGGCGGTGCGAATATCCAAGATCGAACAGGCCTCCGCCGACGAATAGGCCCCTGCTATATACCATTTATACACACTATATCACTATATCGATCGATACTACTCGTAATACTACTACCAATAAAATCTAGAAAACGCAAACAAACAAAGTAATCAACTAGTCTAGGGTCTCGGTAACCACTTAAGCCGCTTAGTGGTGTCAAATGTGGATCCCACCCCGATGGGCGGTTCTAGTTTCTATCTGATGCAACCAATCGGCTTATAGCTGTCTGAGACATAACACTTAACATCGACGGCACCTGCGGAAAGAGATGAATTATAAGTGCTGCGTAGAAAAGAAATGAAAATTTAATTAAATTAAGGTGACTTCCCTCTCATTCTCCTCCGTCCAACCCCGCTGACCGCCTTTCAAATGGGTTACTCTAACGGCTTTCCCCCGTTTCCATTTTCCCACAGCCTATAGGGGATTCCGCGACCGGGTTCGCCTCCCTCCGTTGGTCAACGAGAAGACCGGCCAACTGAATGAGAACACCGCCGACTTTATCCGCCCATATGCCAAAAAGTGGCGCGAGAAGTCCATCTTCCAGGTCCTATTGCACTACCGGGCGGCTCGCTTCCAGGACTTCGTTAATCTGTCACAGCAGGTGAGTAAAAGTCATATAAAGATAATATTAAAAATATCTACAAATAAAAATTAGTTCAATAAAAAATATTAGTAAAAAATATTGGTATATGCCTGTTTGCAATTTAATTTTTAATAATTAAAGTTTAAACTAAAAGATCTTAAAAACAATAGTTTATAAAGCCTTAACTTCAGAAATTATAGTTTTGGGTATAGAACAGATAAAGCAAAAACCTTAAATTTTGAAAAGTATTAAAGAAAATAAAAATATTAATCGTTTCATTCATATTTAAATTTAAAAATTTTTGGGAAAGGTCCAACATTTATTAAATGACTTATCCGATCTTAACAAGTCAAATTTTTATGAGCATTAATAATTAGTTATCTTTACTTAACTTTAGCCTTGTTGTTTTTAGCGTATCTTAACAATATTTTAAATAGACAACCAACAATAATTCCACAGGTCCACATCTACAATCAAAGAATGGTGGCAGGATTGAATAAATGCACCCGGGCTGTGCCCTTCGAGAGGATCAACATGCGCGAGGTGAACTCTTCGCAGCTGGGACCACTGCCAGTGCCCATGAAGAAAATGCCCTTCCGGCTGGATCAGATTCCCTTCTACGACACCCAGTACATGGTGGACCCGGCCAACTCCATCTCCCGCCAGACGTTCCCGAATCAGCTCCTAACGCAGCACATGGAAGACGACGAGCCTTGGGACAGTCCTCTGCAGCGCAATCCATCGATGACATCCTGTGCCCTGACCTACAATGCATACAAGAAGGAGCAGGCTTGCCAGACCAACTGGGATCGCATGGGCGAGAGCGATAATATCTACAATCAGGGATTCTTTCGGGATCCCCAGCAGCTGAGAAGGTAGTTTTCCTTCCTTTTACATTTTAAAATTGAAATAACATTTTGTTTTGGCCAGAAATCAAATGCAGATGAACATGAACGCATATAACAATGCCTACAACAGCTACAGCAACAACTATAACAACAGCAACCAGAACTGGGGCGTCCATCGCTCCGGATCCAGGCGCAACTCCTTGAAGGGCTATGCGGCGCCTCCACCTCCTCCACCACCAATGCCCTCATCCAACTATTATCGCAATAATCCCAGCCAGCAGCAGCGCAACTATCAGCAAAGATCCTCGTACCCACCATCGGATCCAGTGAGGGAACTTCAGAACATGGCTCGCAACGAGGGAGATGTAGGTACAGTGGCGTCTTATCTGGAAACATTTTCAAATCATTTCATTTTCAGAGCTCTGAGGATCCACCATTTAACTTCAAGGCCATGCTGCGTAAGACAAACTATCCAAGGGGAGCCGAGAGCAACACCTATGACTTTAACAATCGTCGCGGATCGGACAGTGGTCAGCAGCACACCTTCCAGGCGCCCAAACTAAGATCGACAGGTCGTCGCTTCCAGGAGGACGAGGGCTACAATTCATCATCGGGAAACTTTGGAGTGTCTAGAAACTTTGGCCAGCAGCAGAGGGCTCCCACATTGAGGCAATCCCCTGCCAGCGTGGGTCGCAGCTTTGAAGACAGCAATGCCAGGTCCTTCGAGGAGGCAGGATCCTATGTGGAAGAGGAGATCGCACCCGGGGTGACACTATCCGGCTATGCCGTGGATATCTAAAATTATATAAAGATCACTTTTAGATGTTATGCAGTGCGTTTTAATCGATAAGACAATTGAGATAAAAAGAAACCCACCTAAAATTCATAATTCAAAATGTTTCTCACAATGGAATAAATAAAATATCTGGAGCTACATCTTACTGAGTGCATTTAGTGGCTATAATTAATATCTTACGGGAATCGTTTTATTCTTTGCTCTTTCGATTCACTGTGATTAATCCAATTCATATCAAATTGTTTTCCATAATATTACATTAAAAACATTTGGAAATACATTAGAATTCAGCAAATATTTTGCATTTTATTGACGTAGGATAGAAAATGGGAAAATTCGACGACTTAACATTGCTTATTATGCTTGCTTGTTTGTTACACCATTTAAATGATTTCATTTTCACACTTTTAGATCTAAAACGCAACAACAATACTCTCAGTATTATATAAACTATATCCATTATACATTGTATATATAAACATTAATAGCTAAACAAAAACGTTTATAGGAATGGATTGAACAAATACTCTTTTGTTCGCAGGACTTTTTGTGTGTTTGATAGGGATTGCAATAAGGCTAAAGGAAATAGAATCGAATTATTAACTGCACACCCAAAATGGGCATGGTCTCATTAAATCTCGAATATGATAAAACAAAGCTTTTCCTCTTAATAGTTTCATATAATATCAATCATCCATGGAGGGTTCGCGTAGGCCATCCGAATGCATTTTCTTGCCAGAAATTTCCAGCATAGCACGATCTTCCAGGTTGCTATCCAGCACCGAACGTTTCTGAGGGTTACAGGTAATATAATAAATTATTTTAAAAAAGTGTTTAATAAAACCTACATGACCATTGCCTTCTTCGTCCCCTTCTTTCACGGGTAAATCTCCAACGGCCCAAACTTCCATGTTTCGTATTTTAAATTGCTTGCGTTTACTGTGAAAATATAGATTTGGAATTATAAAGTAATTTTTTAAGAGTCAAATGTTTTGTGCATTTTCATTTTTACTCACCTTAATTGCACATAATCTCGATATGAAGTGCAGCTTTCAACGCTCTGTCCATCGCCAAAACTGCAGTCAAGCCAGAGGCCCCAGAAATCAAACTGACCGCCCATACCCTATGCACCAGATATAAACAATTAGCGGAGCAATCAATCAATTACTTATAAACATTACTCACCAGACCATTCGGCATAGTCTGCTGATTCAAATTCAAATACTGATAGTGATCGTTATAAGTTGTGGCCGAAAAGCACCGCATGGCAGGGCTTAAGGTGTAGAGAAAAGAGCTGTCATCGCCCCCAAATTGAGGTTTAACAGACCACGATTCGGACGCATAGCCACCGAATATGTATTGATCCTCGTCCTCGATGAAAAACAACGTAGGTCCCTTGTCCAGGATTTTTCCCAGCATCGTTGAGAAGCTCTCGCCGTTGATTTTCGATGAGAAGAGAAAACGCCACTTGTGACGATGTTCGCGGGGCAATTGAGCATTAACATATATGACGTGCGGCAGTTCGATGATTGGGCGATAGTGACTGCTTTGGGGGGCATCTAATAATGAGAAGAAATTGCTCATTTAAAAGTTATCCAGCTATCTTATTAATCATTTAAGATCAAAGTGGCTTTCGATTTTCTTACCACACAATTCTGGAAGAATTGGAATTTCCATTTCCTTGATTATGTTCCGCTTGCTGCCACCATGGCGACAGTACAACTGACTGAAGACCTCGCGCCAGATCTGCAGGAACTGGGGAGTGAGGTGCAACCATCGCTCCAAGGCTTCGCTGGGCATTGTGTGCTCCAATTCCCTGCCTAGATTCCGCATCAGGCCCTTGGCGAAGGTGGCTGCGGAACGCTCTGTGGTGATAAAGCCCAACTCGTGCCAATCCTTGATGCACGAGTATTTGGCGGTGCTCTCCAAATGCACGAAACTCTTGATCACCGTGTAGATGTACTAAAAAAAATTAAATCGATTAATTTGGATATATTAGAAATACAGTAGAGACATATTTAAACTACTGTATACCAAATGATAAAAAAACGAAAAACAAATTTCCCATCTTTTTACAGTATTTTCAATTAAAACTTAATAACAGTCTTTTTTATTCTGACTAAATATTAGAATCCAAAACAAGAGAGAACTGTATAGACGATGCAATCGACTATCCAATACCCGTTACTCAGCTAAAGAGAAAGCCGAGATGGATGGAGATATGCTTGCTTGTAGCTAGCGCCACCTAGCTTATAACACCAATAACACCATAGCGCCCCTATGGTGGCTTTGATCCTGATCAAGAATATATATACTTTATGCGGCCGGAAACGCTTCCTTCTACCAGTTACATACTTTCCGATGAACCTAGTATACCCTTTTAACTTACGTGTAATGGGTATAATTACCGAAATACGTCATTCTGACCAAATGTTTAAATTCTTAGTTCCTTCATTTATTGTTTGGGCCTTAGTGATATTTTCGTTTAAGCAACACAATAAATTATACTTTATATTATATATATAAGTCCTGACCGGAATAAAAAAAAACTCTCCCGATGGAATACAATTAAGATCAAAGCGCACCCAGATTCGATTACCACCTAAGGGGTGCTCGGGAAACATAAGTTATTAATAATATTTTAACGATATTTGATAATGTTTACAATAATCCCACAAACAGTAGTTTATTTATAGACTCACTTGCTCCAGTTGCTTGCTGTTGAAGGTGTCATTTCCAGTTTTTTCCATCGAGCCCAGGAGCAATTGGATTTTCTGGTCAATGGTTCCCCGCTCCATGATGTAGTAGGGCTCGCCGAATTTCTTCATCTGTATGTAGACACATTGCTGACCAGGCTTTGTCGGTGTAAAAAGATACTGGGATGTACATTCGGCCAGCGACCGTTCGATGGTTTGCGACCAAGTTTCCTGTTTTCAAAACAAAACAAAGAATATAAACAAAGTGGGCACCGGATACGTAAACATAATTTTCCCGCTGCTGTCAGCAAATTCTTGCAGGGAACGAAGGTCTGGGAAGCGCTGACACAGATTAACCCATTGAGGGCCGTACACAGGAAACATACGCTTAAGTTGCCGGGAGGGTTATATTAATATTATAAAATTTTAAAAAATTTAAGAGCCTAACAAAAAGTTTCTATTAATAATGTAGGGTATCACAGAAATCGATTTTTGCTAAATACGGGTACCACTTATACTAAGAATTCATCCCGAATATCTATTATTTGAACTTTAAAATTCCCCCCATTACTTCATGGTGAAAAACATTTTTGTTCTGTGCAGTGATTATTAAATTTATGTGAATGCGGGACCATATGGTATGCCGCGAAACGGTTAAGCATATTGTTTATTTTTAATTCAATTGGGCTGGCCCTAATTGACGACCCCTGTCATCGAAATCACGACTAATTCGTTAGCAAGCAAATTCAACAAAGCACAAGACAAACAACGAAATGCGACCGCAAACAAATTAGACAAATTGTAGACCCGTTCGCAGAGTTTCAGGGAATTATCAGTTTAAGACTGATAACACCTTTGTTGCTATACGTATGTAGATATCGAATTTTGCTATACCCTAGCGACTGTGGTGTTAATCAAACATGAGCCAAAAATAGATCAAATAAGCAACAATTTAAGGAATCATCTGGTTACAAACGAACATTTTTTGAACGGTTGCATTTCCGTCATCTGTTGCGGTAAAAATAAAACGACTGGGAAACCTGGGGGCTTTGAACCGGCATCGAAAAGTGTTATATCACATTTGTTTTTTAGATTATAAACTGTGTACGATAAAACTGTTTAAGCTTAATGGGTTAAGATAATACCTTTACTGTGGACGAGCTATATACATACAAATGTGTGCACTCATGATAGAGTAGATGTATTAATTAAAGGAATTGCTAAGTTTCCACAAGTCATTAGAGTATAAGGTTGCTTGCCGTTCAAGTTTTCTATTAATAAAGTACTCAGCGACGTTTTAAGGCTAAAATCTTATTTATAAGTAATTGAGAAGGTAACAATACAAGTGTTCGAGCTTGTAGAGGTATTAGTAATACCTATGAATTATATCTGTATAAAGTGAAAGTAAATTTTGAAGTATAGAAGCTTTTACAGCGAATTCAGCTTTAGAGATTTTATAAAAAATAAATTTAATTTTAATTTTAAATATTTCAAAACAAGTACTATTAATAACAATAACTTTTTAATTTGGTTTTTTTGAAATATTAAATTAATGCTGGTTCTTTTTAACAGATTTAGATACCTCTTCAGGTTTCTTTGAAAATATACCCTTTCAAAGGGTTAAAGCGCAGCAGTATATGGCCATTTGTCATGAACCTGATTTCTTGTTTTTTTTTTTGTTGAAGGAAGTTCAATCCGCGCGTCCTTCAACTTGTGACCCTGACCCTTCCGCCATTGCAGCCTGCAGTTGGGCATTGATTTTCGCACTCAAACCTCACACGTGGCACTGTGATTCCCACTTACCACCAGCCTGTCTTGGGTCAACTTCTCGAGGGCTCCACCAGAGGCGTTTTTGTACGCCGATTCCAGCATGCGGAGCTCCTCCGACGTGTAGAGATTATCCGTCTCCCGCTTGCCACTCGCATTTCCCATATCCTTCGGGCAAAATTAGTTGTCTGGTATTACGACAGCTGGTAAACAAACAACGCAGCTGCTGCTTCTTGTGATCGCGGATTTTAATTGAAAATAAAAAACAAACAACACAACCTAGAGCTGGTAGTAAAATCGATTTCTCTTCGGCCCCATCGATGCTATCAGAAATTTTGAGATATCGATTATTCGCCGCGTTGCCAACACTTTGAGTGGTTGGTGCACCTGCTGTCTGGGGTGGGTGTACTTGCTAAAGGGAAAAGGTTAACCGCTTGGCAAAACCGTTTGGAAGTAAAAATATAAAAAGAATTCGATCGACGTGTTTTAAAAATAATACCAAGTAACAATATCACCCAGTTTTATTAATTTTAAAGGTAT